AATTAGTGTTATATGGTGTAAGTTATTTTCGAGATGTTAAAGTTTGTTTGTTTAAAGTTATTGCATGGCAGTGTACCAATTGTTATGGACAAAATTGATTGAATTTTATGATTTTTCTGTTTCAAATTTTCATTATTTAATTTTTGTTATACTGGATCTGAAAGTTTATTTCGGTTTTAAATGGTTAAGTTCAAAACTGTAAGGATCTTTCAGGATTTCAAAAGTTTTACCCTGCCATGCAGTGACGTCGTAGATTTAGTCGTCATAGATTTAGCCGTCGAATTTCGGTCGCGTCGAATGCAATTCAAACAATAGATAATGAAGCTTAATGAAATTTTTCATCTCATTATCTATTGTCTTAATTGCATTTGACGCGACCAAAATTCGACGTATGAAACAGGCCTTAATATTCTGTTTATAACTTGGACTCTAGGACTTACTAAAGCGCTTATTTATTTGTAGAGAGCTTCCCCCAACAAGCATTTAGGACAAGGTTATCTCCATCTGTCAGGACTGCAGTTACGTGGTCATGCGATGTTTTCCGCTGAAGACCGACCAATTGACGTCGAGACGTTAGAGTATGCTTGGTTACTTGAGTTGCAGCTTGGTACGTTGTCAGGGAAGGTCACACTACCTCAGGTATTGCACATTCAACAACCTATCTAGTTCCCAAGGCTACCAGTCAGTAAGCCAGGATAATGATCAGTACACTGCTGAGGTTCCTGGCCTATGGATCGAATTTATGAGAGATGAGCAAACAAAAAACCCCCGAAATTTTATACAGTATGTACTTTTGTACACAACTACATTAGAACAACTCAATATTCGATTAATTCAATGTAAACATCGGTCAGATGAGGAAAACAACGATATCCATTTTATTTAATCTCCCATCTTCTTTGCCTGTTTTGCATGATTTCAATCACGCTTGTTGTAGCTATTATTATTATAAGCATTTATTTCAACACGATTAAATTCGCAGCATAGCTGATGTGGTCGTGCATTTACATAGTTATGTGCCTAACCCACCCTGTCAACTTTCCCTGTGGGAGGAAACACGGAGTACCCGGAGAAAACCCACGACTTTCGGCAGAGCGTTGACTTACTCTTTTCACATTAGGACTGGGTTCCAGTCACAATGAGAAGTCCTCATTGAGATTCGAACCTGCGGCCTTAGAGGTGAAAGGCAAGTGCGCTAACCACTTCGCCACCGAAACCACTTCGCCACCGCCACAAGAACAGAGTTAATGAGAAGTTGGCAATCACGCGACCTTGGGTAGCTGTTCTTAATGCTTTCCTAACCATCTTGTATTCTATTTAAGTTAAAATACAGTTAGAACACTTATCAAACCTCTATTTTTTAATCTAGAGCCGTAAATATCCCCCGTAACAATGCTGTAACAACCCTCATCCTCGTGTAACCGGGGCTTAACATTTATTTGCGGACTTAGTTTTGTTACTACATGACCTGTATTAATAATCCTTATCACAGTCTTGAACGGTCTGTACTAGTGTACATACTTAGGTAGTGCCAATAATAATAAGAAAGCTTCAGGTGTCCCTTCGATCCGAAGCAATCCTTATCACATGCTCTTTCAAGGAAAACTAAGTTCTTAATTTTTACATGGCGTATACATAGAATGGAGCATGAGTTTTGTTTACTTTGCTTTTGGCATTACGTAGATGCGAGGCAGTCAATTACCTTAAACGTTTAGAAGTACAGTGAATTACCTTCATCTGGTTTACAAGTACAAATTAATTAAAATTATACTTCAACAGAACATTTCATTATTTATATGCAATAAACAGAGCCATACACGAATGTTTGGAAATATGGAATAATTTCGTATTTTTGCACATCCACGTATTATTCCCTATTAAAACAAAACATTTCGTTATTTTTAGTTACTGACGGTATCTAATTGGGCTGAACTGTTTGCCTTCCATTTATTGGACGAAGAGAATGGAATGAAAGATCCTTCTCCTCACAAGATCTGTCAGCATGGTGTATTACAGTCAAAATGCGATAAACGACCGAAGATAAATGAAGATCTCGATACTGGTGAAGATATTACCTCCTTGTGTCAAACTGAAGACGATTTTAAATACAAAATAATTCGAATATCTGTGGAAGAAATTGACGTCTCTCTTATTGAAGCGAGTTGCTGTTGTAATGTCAAGGTAAACTCAACAAAATGTATTCTATATTGACACGAATTCTTCTTGTACATATCAATGATATCCTTCATGTACTTATGGATCAATCTACATTCAAATATATCCTCAGTAGCCGTTATTAAATATTACGCGAGACGCTAGCACTATACGGCTCTTACTACGTCTATCACGATTTCTCTGGATCTCGCTAGTACTTTGTCTCTATACGTCTCAATTTCACTAATATTATTACTTTGTATATGCAAGATTTACAGTAACTGCAGTGTTTTGCGAAGTTGTCGATTTAAAATTACTTGTTTTACCGCTCTTTTATTTGATAACAGTGTATTATATGCAAAGAAGCGTTGATATATAATGTAGCTGGCGTTAGAAAAATTCCAAGCTTGCTGTCATTTTCTCAGTTGTTCTCTCTTTTTCAGTAGCACCCAAAGCCTGCTATCCATGCAAGAGCTTAAGCATCCTCTAGTATTAAGCCTTTGCAGGGATATATTTGGAAGCCTTAAGTTACATCAAACTAAAATTACGGCGGAAGTTAATCCAAGCCTGAGAGAGTATACAAATCCAACCGGGCATCGAACCTTGGTTGGCTTGTTTAATGGGTTAATATGTATAGAATATCAATGCACCAATCATGTGTGTTCACGGTAAATCAGGTCCAAGAATTGAAAATATCTCTTTGATTCACCTCGTATTCTTGCAATGTCAGGCCATGGATTTTAACTGTTAATTTAAGTTTGCAAATTATTTTGTAGATTTCTCCAATCCGCGTTGCTTCATGTAATCTTCATACAGACAGCACAAAAACGGGTGTCAGTGTGTTTGTTCACAAGATTGACATAAGTCAGTATGTGTTGTTATTGGCTGGTAATAAACTCAAGAATCAAGTAGGACAAGAAGAAGCAGGTTGGCTTGAAGCAGCTTCTCTACACGCTGGTCCTATTATTTCAGATATATGTCTTGAAGAAGATAATAATCTCGATCCCACTGACCAGAAAGAGTTCTTGGAAAAACATGACAAGAAAACTCAACGTCTTTGGTTTCTATGGCAACATGATAAAGCACGTGGCACGTCGTTGCTCAGTGAAAAAGATGGTCGATGTGGATGTGTTGGTGGGTGTAGTTTCTTCGGCAAGAATGTAAATGGTCCTGTCTTCTTTAAGCTTGATTATCTTGATGCTGGACAAGAAGAAAAGGAAGGACGGTTGTTTGGCAGTCCTGATGGGTGGCAGAATATTGAGCTGGATGGGGATGATGATGCTTTCATGGAGAATCAGTCTAGTCCAAAGACAATTCAACGACATAACAGCTGGGCAGGACGGAGTCAGCCTCCAAAGTTTCGTAGCATTAGTTCTCAGCGGTCTGCTAGGACATTTAGATCCCGAGGTGATGCGTCTCGATCTAATATTTCAACATATGCCACATTCCCAATCAAAGCTAAAGAGAAAGGTACGATCTTCATGTTCAAACCAACTTGTTGTTCTTGAGGATTCTGTTTATGCACTTCTCATGTTAATATTTCTTCAAATGTATCAGTATGATAAATGCCTGTTTGTGTCTTTAGCCATTGAAACTGTTGTCAACTATCTTTGTTTGGTTGGTCTTAATATGGGACTCCTGTCCAGTTGACCACACCTTCAACCTTACGATATTTGTCTCCATTTGTGTTGAATTATTAAAGTTTATCAATGTGTATTTGTTTAGATAAAAGGTTGTAAAGTTAATAGAATTAAATAATGTTTTATATGATATAATTATTACTAATGATTATATTTATTATTTAAACATAAATCATTCTGTTTTAGTGCTGAGTGGTACAAGTGCATGGAGCGTTCCTGATAATTTTCAGAAGGCCGCCATCAGTATTGGAAATGAACGAAGGGGAAGTCCACGCAGAACTAGTGTTGAAGAGTCACAATTTGATCGTCAAAGATTACCAAGTGATGCATCATTTTATTCTTGTACTAGTGGTTTGTAAGTATTTACGTTTTATCTACTCATTGAAGACTGCATAAAATATAGAGTATATTATTATTATAGAATGGAAGGCGTCAAGTTAGGTTTCGAAGTTATTTCCAGTTTCTGTAGGGGTTGTTTCTTGTTTTCGTTAGGTTTTACATTAACTTAAGAGGTTAACTACTTTTGGAACTATTTGGAGTTTAATGTATATATGCAAGTTGTGGGTTTGATGACTAATTAAATGCATGATTACTTCTCAGGGTAATGGCTAAAAGGGATGGACGAGAGGGAGATTTTCAAGATTTTAAACTCAGAGTTTACGCGCTTTAGTTTACGGTTAATATTAAAATTTGGTTGGGGGTTAGGATAAGGTTTACAGTAAGGTCTAGGATTGTTATAAGTGCATGGTTGTTGATTTTTTCGCGTTCTAACGATCTTGAAGAGTAACCGCCATCTCCCTCTCATCCATCCCCTTTCTCAACAACTCTCTTCTCAGGCGTATTTGAGAAACGTGCTTCTATAAGCTAATCAAACCATGCCAATTTTCTCTGGTCACTCCAGTTTTTCCCTGTAGTAGCATTGGACCAATAATGTTTGGATCGTTAGGAGAGCAGATTAGACCCTCGATTTCTTACGCCCGTATTCTAAAGCTCACTCACACTCAATGAGTCGAGGTTCAAACTAAGCTTCTCTTGTGTGTCAATGCTGTTTTTGAATAGCTGAAGGGTTAGTGTCCTACCTTACTATACGACCACTCAGAATACGGGCGTTAGTTTCCCATGTGTACAATGTAGAAAGTTTCTGGTTCTAATTTTTTAAAATATTTTTTCTTCATATTCTGCAGGGACAGTTCCCTTCCATCGAGACCGGCATCTATTGTGTCATTGGATAGTTTTACCTCTGCTGTTGAGTCGAGCGACCAACCGTTATTTGAAATGCAATGCGAAGATTTTCAAAAACAATTTATCCTTCTACCTTCCGTATTGTTGTCAAAATACAGAAGTCATCTTGCTCAGATGCACTGCGAACATTGGTTAGAAAATGAATATTTAACTGCACAAGCCACCAGGAAATTTAATTTAGTGCAAAATCTCAAAGTATGTACTATATATGTAATTGACTTATGCCATCATTTAATAATCCAGTATTTTATACAGCTAATTCAAAAAAGGTTGTCCTTTGCAAACTCTAAACCTTAAACCTTAAACTCTAAGCGTGCAAAGCATAATGGGAGCATCATTAGTCAGTTTAGAAATCGTATATGGGGCCCATTTCTAAGAGACACGATAAATATCTCCTTAGGAGAACAATTCATTCACAAATAGCGGCAGTACTCGACTACTTAGCTTGAAACTTGTGCTCCCACTAAGCTTTGCACGCTTAGAGTTTAAGGTTTAGAGTTTAAGGTTTAGAGTTTAAGGTTTGCAAAGGACAACCTTTTTTGAAATGGCTGTATATAGTTAAAATTATTTTGCGTTTGTAAATTATTATCTTAATATTATTGATTAGGCTTATAATGCGCTTTTTAAAATAAATCAGTCAGATGAGATTTATAACGATTTAAAACGCTTTCAGTACAATATTCAAAATACAATACGTTGCAATGATAAAATACGCGAGGGTCCAAATTCGCGAGGGGAGTCCAAATCCGCTAGCGAATAAAGACCCCCATACAGTAGGTCCATATTCGCTTGCGGATTTGGACCGGGGGTCCACCCGGACCATTTTGAGGGGGGTCACCTGTACTGTATTGCATATCTATAGCTTTTTAGCAACACAATATTTTGTAAATTGGAAATAATCATTCCAATACTTTGCTTTGATCATAATTATGTTTCTTGTTTCAGGCCATTGATCAAATACCAAGAACAAGTCCCAAACGACTTGAGTTCACGCCGTGCTATACCGGCCGTTATCACACACTCCTTTCCAGGAAAATTACCGAAGATTCTGATGTGTCCATGCCAAGTGTATTTGCCGAAGACATTGAACGCAGACCTGGGTTGAAGAGAGATGTTTCGCTTTCTGAAAACGATTCAGATAAAACGTATGTACTCTCTTATTCGCAAGTGTGATGTTTCCTTATACTAGTGGCAGTGTGACAGCGAAGGTAGCAATGGCAACTGGCTATGTTATTCTAATGAATAGTTTAAATGATTAACAATTTGCGTAGAACGACGAGTCTTTATGCTACCTTCGCCCCTACAGTGTGCCGCGCGTTCTAAGAATCTGTATAGTGCTCCCTGACGTATATTGAGGTGATCTATACATAAAAATGGGCTTGATTTTCGGGGGAAAGGAAGAAGACCTTAATCAAAGCAATAAGTAGAAAATATCAATTTCTCAGTTAAATGTGTTTTGGAATACGAAATTAACAACGTACAGAGCAAAAAACCAAGAACCACACATTATGGATCTTCGCTTTCCTACATAAGCCGCCCGACTTAATTAAGCTCCATTTCTTTGATTTGAATTACTAATATTTTAAATATCCCATTTAAACATTTAGCTATACCAGTTTTGTTTTGAACCTGAAAGAACTAAAAAAATGGACGTTTCGAACGAAGCGTTAGAAGTGATGAAGGACCGAATGTCCAAATGTTTTATTCTTTTTCATGTAATTCCAACGAAAACTTTTATATTTTATCGTAGAATACTTCTTACATTGTCCCCTCTCCCCGACGTTGGAGATTCCATTTCAACTTTGACTGTAGTTCCTGAATTATTAATAGTCTTTTTAATATTCGTAAGAAATTGTTCACACGCTCTTTCTAATTTCATATTACTTTAGACCTGGGAAAATGGGTTCCTTAAAGAAACGTCGTTGGAAAACAGAAATTAATAATGAGTCGTCACAATCTATGTCTTCGTCTAAACATCCCGCTGAAAGTCTAACGTCGAATAAAGAATGTGTTCAACTGAACCGTGGCACATCAATTGTCAGAATTGAGGGATTTGTCAACATCATGTTGTCTCCACTACTGCTAGAAGCCCTTGACAGGTGAGCGATTGACACAATGGACGACTTGCGCTTTAGACTAAATTTTAATCTAAGTAAGAACAACGAAATCTATCACCACAGCTAGAAAGAGCGTCTTGGAATTAATAATATTACAAAGTTTGGTTGCGAAATGTTGTAAAATACGGAAAATATAGCCCTTCAAAATTGGCAAATTTGTATACTTTTGTATTACGTGCGTGAATTGGTAACTAAATTAGTTACCAATTTCCGCACGTAATAGAAATGTATACAAATTTGCCAACTTCGCAGGGCTATATTTTCCGTATTTTACAGCATTTCGCATCCAAACTTTGCAGTTTTTCTAATTTTGATAACTTCTTTCCGAAAATATCCTTTGTTATTCCCAGATTAAAAAATTTTCTAAAGCGCAAGTTGTCCATTACTTACAGCACAATTACTTACGCATACGTATTTTTAATCAATAGATTGTTTCCCTCATTGTCAATCATCTTATGCCCAGTACGTCATAATCCATGCAACAGTATAATTGTTAAATAGAAGGACACCCTGTAAAGTGATTTAACCTTATAATATTTTCGAGCCAAGGAAGAGATATCACGATTGACACATCTGGATGATGCGAAAATCATATTTTTAGGGAACAGATTTTTCTTTCACGCTCTAGCAAAGATCGCACTTTCTCAGAGGGTATCGTTTAACAGCTGGTTAACTTAATCCCAGGTTAATGAAAAACTTCAAAGCTATCTTCCCAACAGCTTGTTCAAGAAATGAAAATATTTTTTTCCAGGAATGGTTTCTGGATCAATAGAAATTTTATTTTCTAAGTTGCAAAATATACAGTGCAATAAATTTGAAAAAATACCCAAACCAAATCAGCAGGTTAAATTTTAGCCACTAATCCAACTTTGAACAACCGGCTCCAGAGTGGTTCTGGGCAACCGAGTTGAACTGCGGAACTCAGGTTTGATTTCTTCTTTTCTTTGCTATTGTTTACTCCAGGTATTCGAGATCCGCAGCGGAGCAGATCAACTCTCTTCATCCTTGCACAATTCTTGATAAGATACACGTGAAAAGTCTGGATGTAGCTCAGAAGAAATACAAAATGGATCTTCCAGACAAGTCTTTGAAGAAGACAGAAAGTCGACAAAATATCTTTATTTCAGTTCCTGGTGTTAATGTTTGTTTCTTGCAGGCTTTAACAAGTGAACGACGTGTCTCAACCATCTCGCTTACAACAGCCAGTAGTGAAAGTGAGCTGTCAGACACTATGCATGCTAACTATCATCCAAACCCTAGTCTTTCATTGCTAGCTGTAAGGCTGAATGGATTTTCAGGGCAAATTATCGTACATAACCAGCGGAAAGCATCGCTTGCCAAATACATGCACGAGAAAATGGAAGATGCAAGGGAAGAACACGTGACTTCCAATGAGAGTGTACCACAGTCTCCCACAGTTGATACGAAAAAATGTGATACTGAAAACGTGGGCAATAAATTAGCGGGAAATTTTAACTTGGAGCAAATTCAACTACAATTTAGTCGTCTGTGTAATAAAAGTGACGTTGAAAACAGCCATACGACTGCAATACCTCCAAAATGTAGTAAGGTTGATTTTATTTACTCGAGTAGGAATATTATTCAGTTTTCTAAGGCTCTTAATGTGAAAAACTTAAGGAAGGAAGAAATAGTCATCTTTGTTATGTTAGAATCTGGAATGGATAATATTTCACTGAAAGTTGGAAATTGTGCAAAATTGAAAACAGGAGAAAAATTAAAACGTCAAGCTCCATCAACGAAGAAGAGTGGTCATAACCGTAGCCAAAGTGCTCCAGCGCAACTGCTGTCTAAGATTACTCAATGTGATGTTACTGACGCCCCACGTCCTTCATTTCAACATACATTACATGAAAATTATAGTGAACAAATGCTAGAAAGTATTGTTGTTGAAAAACAACCAGGTATTCCTATGTCTCCGCTACAACCAGGTATTCCTAAAGACGATTCAGCCAGTTCAATTACATCATCATTAAGTGCGCGAAGTGACAGTACTGGGAACTTGACTGATAATGAAAGTGAAGGAGAAGATGAGACTGATGCACAACCTTTGCTCGCACGTCGTTCTCAAGAGACTGGCAGAGTTGGAAAACCTTTAACACCGTCAATTGCAACTAAAGAAGACTCCCCAAAGCCGGCATATTTACTCCATCATCAAAATGATGTCGTAGCAAATTTCAAGTGTATCTGGTTTAACTGTGCTTCACCCTCCTCAGTCAAACCTGTTCCTGAGAATTATCATCTTCATAATAACCTGTTAACAACAGGAATACCTGCTGTGTCAAGTTGGATGCCTGGCGCAGAGAAACTCCGTGCAACCCTGGCACGACTTCAGAATGATCATCGTAGACGATTTTATTCCGTTACATCGTGTATCATGGCGTTGGGTCTTCCAGAGAAAAATAAAATGTTGGGCACGGTATGTTGATTTATAGATTTTATGTGTATTTTATTAATTAAGAACATTTTGGACCAGTTAGTTTGTGTGTAAAATATATAGTCCAGCCTTCAAGTTTAGACACTGGATGTATTATATGGATTGATGGATTGTGTAAAACAAGGTTGGGAAACTTGGGAAACGACAACGTCAATGAAAACGTGTTCCTGTTATAACATTAGTGAAGTTTAGATTTTGACTTCCACTACAGCTACCGTTACCACTAACCAATAAGGTGCATTTTTCTACCTGCAAATGAAATGTGTGTGGTAGTGGAAATCAAATCTGAATTTTGCTCTGAAACAAGGGCGTTATAAACTGTATTCCCTTGAGCGTTCCAGTTGGCCGTTCTTGTTTATAGTACTATAGTTCACAGTATTTACATTATTTCTACATCTCATAACACTTTTAACGTTTGAAGTCTTGTGGGGTGTTTTATGTCAATTCACTGAGTAGTGCTACTTAAGTGTTGTTGAAAAGAAAGATAAGAGGCAAATAAAGTTCAGTAGTGTATGTTTTTTCTCGAATACAAAAATGTAAATAATTTTGTATTATGTCGTTGGCGTTCTAACTCCCTATTTACAGAGCCTAAGCAAGCGACGTCACGTGAGTTAGTACTGTACCTAGTTTTCGGTAAATGCTCATGAATATAAAGATTTAGTCGGAGAACGATTTATTAAATACCTAATTTTGACGATATTTTTATTTAAAGCGTTCCTGTAGGGAAGTTCCTTCAAAACCTTGCGTTTTGCCGCGATATGAGGCCTTATAAGTCTATTAGTTCGTCTTAAAAGACGATCTAATAGACTAACACATAATATAATAATAATAATAATACACAGAATTTCTATAGCGCCAAATCTACAGTTCTCTAAGGCGCTTTACATTCATACCACATTAAAAATATGGACAAAACCTAATTTACTAGTAAAAAAGTTTAAAAAGTTTAAAAATGTGACCTAGACCTAATTTACTTATAAGAAAGTTCAAAAAAGTGCGTTTTTAAACGTCTTTTAAAAATGCTAAAACTTGTCTCAAGTCTCAAGCTGTCTGGTAAATTGTTCCATAGTGTTGGGCCAGATCTTCCAAAACATCGTCCACCTTGGGTAACCTTCTTAAACCTAGGAATAACCAAAAGGTTTTTGCCATCTGCTCTAGTGCCTTTGTTTTCACGCTTTTTTAACAGTTCAGATAAGTACTCTGGTGCAGTTCCTTGGAGACATTTAAACACAAATAACAGAATTTTGTACTCTATTCTCTTTTTCACTGGTAACCAGTGGAGTCTTTCCAATATCGGTGTAATATGGTCGTACTTTCTTGTTCCTGTGATTAATCGTGCAGCCAGCTTTTGCACACTATATAACCTGTCCAAGTCACAATTTGGTAACCCATATAGGATAGCATTACAATAGTCAAGCCTTGATGTAATCATACTGTGTACCATTATTTTTGCTGCATCTTCAGTAATACATTTTCTAATCTTACGCATATTGCGGAGCTTGAAAAAACAACTTCGCAACATTACGAACATGACTCTTTAAGGTAAGCTTGTCATCAAGTTCTACTCCTAAGAGAGTTACTGATTCTGATTTAACAATACTTTCGTTTTCGATTGACAAGCAAGGAAAATCAGAGCAGTCTCGACGAGGACCTGTCAAAACCAGGAACTTTGTTTTATCATCATTGAGCTTCACCATGTTCTTTGTCATCCAAGTTTTTATGTCATGCATCAGAGATTCCATTCTATCAATGGTTTCCAATCTATTTTCATACTTAAAGGATATGTATAGTTGGCAATCATCAGCATATATATGAAACTGTACACATGAACATCAATGAATTCTTGTGAATGGAGTTAAGTCTGTCAACCCGCTTTCACAGTTGAATCAACTCACGATCAATGAAATACATTCAGTGTTCCATCCAGTAGAGACATGCATCAACATTCAGATGAGATAATGCTCAGCTGGATGCATGAGCTATCGGGCTAGATTAAATTATTCAATGTCACTACTAATTTTGTCAAAGTTTTGTGAGCTAACTCAGTGAAGTCTTCTTACTCGCTGTAATGCTTTATTTTTATTCTTATTTTCAAGCATACCATCGTGAGTAAATCAAGTGAAGAATCCAAATATCTACAGAGAGAATACTCCAGTCAATTAATCTTTCATCTTCGCCGTCAGTTGGTTGGCACAAGAAAACATAAAGTTCTTACTGCATTATCAGACGTGAGTGCTATCCCAAGTACAGAAGATTTGAGCAGTGGTATCATGGCGCTATCACGACAATGGAAATGTCTTCTGGGTGTAACAGATGAAGAATTCCGTCCTGCTGGGTTATTGAAACGACCCGTGGTTGGTCGTGGTGTACTCACTGAACGTGATCGAGCTATTTTAATGAGAACTGAATACAGAAAGTCTCAAGAGGAAGAAACACTTGCTGCAGGTAATTTGAATTCATTTCTTTTTATACATAGTGCAACTCCAATGTTGGAAGACAGATCTATAATGCTGCTGCGTGGTCGTGGTGGTGGTTATTATTATTATTTTTATTATTTAAACATATTTATCCACGGTAACCTTTCAGTTGCCTGTTTTTCAAAGGGCCGTGGTCTAAAACTATTAAAAAGATATAAAACTAAATCTAAACCTAAAGTATAACACACTAACATTAATTCAAATTGAAGTATAACATGCAAACGACCTTACAATGCAAGTAAACATTCGATAAAATTTCGAGAAAATTTCGCTATCTTAGCAATTTTTAATAAGCCTTTTGAACTGATTCAATGAAAGATGCTCATGTTCCTCGAGAATTTCGTTTGGAAGTTTATTCCATGACACTGCTGCGCGGTAGGAAAAACTTTTCTTAAGGAAGTTAGTGTTTGGTTTTGATAAGTGAAGTTTTCGTTCGCTACTTCTCAATGCATAATTATCGTTCTGGGACATAGTAAACATTTCTGTTAAATATTTTGGTGTCATTTTGTTAATTGCTTTAAATGTCATTGTTTGTTCACGTTGTTCGAGGATATTTGCAATGGGCTCCCAATTCAATCTATTTAAGATCTCTGTTGATCTTATTTCATACCCTGAGTTAGTGATAACACGTGCTGCTCTTTTTTGTAATTTACTTAATTTGTCAATGTGGGTGATATTTCCGTTGTGCCAAACTGTTGAGCAGTAAGTGAAATGTGGTATGACTAGTGAATTGTACATTGTAATAAGGGCATTTTCTGTCAGAAAACTTTTTGCTCTTCTCAAAAGTGCAATGTTTTTTGAAATTTTTGCACATTGATTATCTATATGGTTATGCCAATTAAGTTGTTCGTCAAGAACCACTCCTAGGAATTTTTTGTTAGAAACTCTCTTTATCATATGATTTCCTATTAATATGTCAGGATCTGAATTTATTTGATTAAGCCTTTGTCTCGAACCAACAACCATATATTCTGTTTTCTCAGCACTTAAAGTTAGTTTGTTAGCTAATAGCCAATTATGAACACTGTTCAAGTCTGAGTTAATTTTTTGTTGAATGTCAGTTGCTAATTTTCCGTCACAGGCTATATTAGTGTCATCTGCAAACATTGATGCTTTTGTAGACCTTAAGCAATTTGGTAAGTCATTGATGTAAAGTAAGAAAAGCAGTGGTCCTAGATTTGAACCCTGAGGGACTTCGCAAGTAATTGTAGCTCTATCTGATATTTCGTGATTAATTTTGCAAACTTGCTTTCTCCCTCTCAGATATGAAATAAACCATTGTAATGCTTTCCCTCGTACTCCGTAAAGCTCTAATTTTGAAATGAGTATGTTGTGGTCCACAGTGTCAAATGCTTTTTTGAGATCAAGAAACAGTAGACCATTAATAAGGCCCTGGTCCATATTTACAAGACATTGATTTACAGAATATAAGAGTGCAGTCTCTGTGGAGTGTTGAGTGCGAAATCCAGATTGATTTGTGGATACTATCTGGTGAAATTCTAAAAAATTATTTAGTT